AAAGATTCATTTGGACAATACATCCGCAAGCCAACACAGATAATGGCAAATAAAGAAGAGTTGTTGGCACCTTTCAAAGGTAAGCGTTGTCCAGGAAATCATGTGCACGCCAATGCTTGTAACAAAGAGCTAGCAAGGGCGGCACAGTATACCTACAGAATGCAGTCACTGATCGTTGATGCGGTGCAAATCGCCAAAGACCTGTTTGCTTACGGTCGCGATCCATTCGCGAATCGTGAACGCAGCTATGCGTTCGTAACAAACAGTGCTGGCTACGACTTGGACGACCCAACAATCCGGAGACACCCAAACGGAGAAATCTGTCGACCACCACCTGGCGGTCTTGGGTGCCCTGGCTGTGTGGACAACAACTACAAGCAATCACCAAAGCACAGTAGGGATCCGAAGATGTGTCGGTGGTATGATGTTGAACCGTATTACTGGGACTGTCCAAGTTGTAAGAAGGAATATCAGAAGAGCAATCCTCACCACACCAAGATATCTGGCCAATGCAGATTCGCCGAAAAATGGAAGCTGCCAGATAACTTTGGCCAGCCGCGCCCGGCGGGACAAGCCGCTCCTGCGGCGCCAGCCGCGGAAGCGGCTCCAGCCGCAGAAGCGGCGCCAGCCGCAAAAGCGGCGCCGGCCGCGAGAGCGCGCATACGTGCGCCTAGGCCGCCACGGCCTGGTGAGGGCGATCCAACCGCAGGCGCCAGCAGCCATGACATCACCAGAGCCGACGGGGCTAATGGTGGCAACAGTGGCGCTGGCAGCTCTGACGATCACCGTAGACTGCCACAAGTTGCAGCAAGGCGCGGACGCATGGAGGGAGGAGATCCTCCACCACCGCCGCAGCCTCAAGCAGAGCCGAGGCCAAGGCCAAGGCTCCCTGATTGGACTCGCTTCGACGTTCAGCTCAGCCTCCAAAACCTGCGCAGCTTCGACCCAGCTGTAGTGCAGCGAGAACTCCGCAAACTCCACCTGAGATGGTTTCATGCCAAGGAGCCAAAAATGCGGATGATTCTAACCAAGGTTGGTCTGGGTGAAACCCGTTTGAGTCTGATCAAAGGCATTTGTGACTCGTGTAGAGAATGTCGAGCCTGGGATAAACCAGGCAACACGGTGATGCCTTCCGTGTCACTGCCAGGACGTTTCAACGAAGAAGTCGAATGTGATCTCTTCTTTTATAAACAGGAACATATTGTTTTTCACATCATCGACCGTTGTATTCGCTGGGCAGCTGGCACAGAGATTCCTGATAAAGCTATGCATACTGTTCTCGATGCCTATCATACGACTTGGATGCAGCATGGCCCTGCTAAAATCTTATACTCCGATGGGGAAGGAGCACTGAATAATGATACAGCAAAGGCCATCCTTAAGGCTAAGGGAACAGAGCTTCGTATTCGAGCGCGTGGCCAACACGCTACAACTATCGAAGCTAGGAACGGCATCCTTCGACACCTCCTACACGTGATGGGAGAAGAATTGAATAGATTACATATCCCTCTCAATTTCACTCGTCTCTTACATGAAGCCTTGTTTGCTAGCAACGCATTTACCTTCTACAATGAAGTGTCTCCGTACAATGCGCTGTATGGTAGACAGCCAGCTATGCTTCCTGATTTCCCTGTCTTGGATCATGATCAGCCCACTGAATCATCAGATCACTCAAGGGAGGAAACAATCAGGAGGGTTAGTCTGGAGGCAATCACGCAGGCCACTGCGGTTGCCAAGACGAACAGGGCACTCCGTACAAAGACTACTGCTACGGGTGAATTTCATTATAAAGAAGGAGATCTCGTGGACTATCACCGTCCGACCACCACGAAAGACGACTGGGGTGGATGGAGTGGTCCATACCCGGTCGTCCGCAACGAACCCGACCGAGGCCAGGTCATCGTGAAGGTCGGCAATCGCGAAGTGCGAGTACAGTATCCTGACACACGACACACACTGTACATCGAAGCACTTATGGTCCGCGAGATAGGATCGGACAATACGGCCCTTCGAACAGTATTGGCCTTTATTGCCGGTCTGCCAGCGGGGAAACCCGCCATGACTTTCGGATATCTACCAACGAAACAGGGTCGGCTGCAGATGACTGCTGCGAGCCGACTTCACCTAAGGTGCACTTGGCTCTTCAGTACCTCATACGCAACTACTTTCGTATTGAAAACGTTGTTGCTGTACGACTCGCCAAGAGCTTGACGAAGCTGCCTGCCGCACCCTATGCAGACAGCTGTACACTAGTGCACTATGATAACGATGTGACCCCTGGGTTTCATTACTATGAAGCTGATGGCACTGCCTTGAACATCTATGACATCACAGGATCTACACACTCACGCATCATCCAGTGTCTTAAATCCAGGAAGCCGTCTGCTGGGTTTGACCAAGATCTCACTAAGTTTGAGGAACTCGCTGATGGTCCACCACCAAGCGAATCACCTCCAGCAGCTGCTCCTGAGGAGCCTCCTACGGACAACGATGGTCGGCTCCCGACCATCATAGAGGAGACAGAAGAGGATCTAGATGCTTTTGTCTTGAAGTCGTGGTATGCTGAACTGATGGATGACAGAACACTCCTTGAAGCTGACACAGAGGAAGTCATGCATACAGTTCCTACATACATGACAGACACACAGTGTGTATTAGTCTCTACGACCTGTGAAGATGTGCAAGGCCACTTGCCGGAGCGGGGTCACCCGCCAGGATACGACATGGACACTTCTTACTACGTTCCTTTATGCTCCACGGAACCGGATAGCAAATATGATCTGGACTCCGATGAGCACGGGAAGTATATCGAGCTCTGCTTCACAGCAGACATGTCCAAAGTCGTCCTGTCCGAGCAGCAACACCGACTGTTGGATGACAGCAGCGTCACAACTATGCGAGTATACGTTAGCGCTGCCTCCAAACGTGCCGTGGTCGTCAAGGAAGACGATCTACTCACGAAGGCCGACATCCAAGCAAATCCGGTCAAAGTTTCCAAAGCCCTCTACACAGAGCTGAAGACTTGGCTTGACAACAAATGCTTCCAGATGACTGACTTAAGCAAGGCGTCTAACATCATGACGTCACGCTACGTATACAAATGGAAGTTTGTCAAGAACGAAAAGGGCGAAATGGAAAGGACGATCCGGTTACGCTTGGTACTCCGTGGCTTCATGGACCTCGAAGCCTTTGATGTCGAAACCTTCTCTGGCACGGCAAGGAGGTCAAGCCAGAGACTGCTCGCAAGTTCTGCTGCATGCAACAAAGCTTGGATCATCGCTTCCCTGGACATCAACATGGCTTTCTTGAAGGGACTGACCTATGGCGAGCTCGCCGCGGCAACGGGCGAGAAAGAACGTGTGGTGTGTTTCACACTACCACCTGGATCAGCAGCTGTCCTTCGCACACTGCCAGGCTTTGAGTCATATGACGAATCAAAGCATTGTCTCCGGTGTCTGAAACCGGGGACAGGCACGAAGGATGCTCCCAGGGCATTCTCGCTGAAGCTCAGGTCCATCACTAGGAGCTTTGGGCTACAGCCTACTTCATACGACGAAGAATTCGAGATGAGCCCAAACCTCTTGACAGCCAAGCACGTTGATGACATCAATATGACTGGGAAGGAAGAGGCTATCGACAAGTATGTCAAGTGTGTTGAAGATACGTTTGGGAAGTGCAAACTGAACAAGCACACATACACGAACTGTGCTGTCCGGTACAACAAGACCGATGATGGGAGCGTCACTCTCGACCAGGACGAATACATCAAACAGCTTCGTCCTATCACACATCCAGAACTCACAGGAGCTGATCCTGAAAGCAAGGCGACGAAGACAATTTCTGATATGTTCGTCAGTCTTCGTGGCGCTCTAGCCTATGCGTTGATCACGCAGGTATGGCTAATGGTCTATGTTGTCTCACTACAACGTATCCAAGAACCGACAAACATCCAGGTACGACGACTAAACGCGGTTACCAGAAAATTGCAGGCAGGTCCGAAGAAGATCGTGTATCATGCTATGACTCCAACAGGAGAAGTCGACCTGCATAGCGATTCTGGCTATCGTCGTCTCAACGGAGATGAAGACGACGAAGTCAAAGGCTATGGTATCCGCGGGGCTAACCTGCTGAGGCGTGGCCACACGCAAGCGGGGAAACCCGTCGTGCACCTGGTGGACGCATACTGCAAGTCTCATCGACTGCAAGTGCGTTCGAGCTACTCTGCGGAAACACTGGCAGCAGCCCACAACTTGGAAGACTGCTACCCGACCATTGTAACGCTCCACGAGCTACACTCGGGACCATTGACCCCCACACAGTTGAAGAACATATTGGAAATGGGTGGTCTATGTATCAAAGTCACTCTGACTATTGATGCCGAGTCTGTCTTCAAATCTTTGTCTAGCAAGGATCTGAAGAAGCCCACAGAGTGTACTCTGCTTGGGCACATCAGCTGGATTCGCCAGATGATGGAACGTGGAATCGTGGAAAGCGTCCAATGGTGTGACACGCGGGATATGACTGCCGATGGTCATACCAAAGGTAGCATTGACCGCGCGTTGCTCCTACAAGTAATGGCCGGCCAGCAATCCTTCAAGCACGAGCTGAAGAAACATACGCCGTATAGGGCGGGCAGGTCGTCTCAGGACGGCCCTGCCTCCCGAGCCAGCGGGGAAACCCGCGGGCAGGTGCGCTTTAGCAGCGAGGAAACTCGCCGGTAGCGAGGCTACTCGCGCGCCCTTTCCTTGTAGGCAGCCGCTGCTGCTTAGCACTGTTTTTCCGCATAATAGAAGTGCGGTACCTGCTCGTCTCCTCCCCCTCCGACTTTAAACGGAGAAGGTTAAAGGCGAGGTATAAATCGAGCATGTACCGCTGCCGTGCCTGGCTCAAGCCGGGCCCGGCCTAATATGTGACTGTGCCTCACTGAGGCGCACTACTTGCATCCGAGATCGGAAAACATCCTTTTCCATTGACGATGCCCATCCTACTCTTTACTCCAGATCCCATGCTTCGTCTCGCTCTCTTGCTCATGCGCTATGAGCCTAAGCCTGGGATATGGAAGCGCCTAAGGCGGACTGTATACCTAAGCTTACCAGCTTGTTTTCGACTGGGAGCCCCAGGGGCACGCGGGAAGCCCTCGGGGGCACGCGGGAAGCCCAAGGAGACTTCGCGATGTGGGGTCCGGGCCCCTCACGGACCCCTCGGGAGTGAGGATTGGGGCAGAGGGCCCGAGGACGCGGTGGCGGATGCTTGTTCTGTTCCTCCGAGCCAGGGCACCCTGCGCGGGCGGGGTCGTGCACGGGCTCCTCCTGCGAGCTGGCCTTGTAGTCCGTAGGCCTTCAGCGGGACTGGTCTGGAGCTTCCGCCTCCTCTGTGCTTCACCGCAGCAGGGCCCTGCTCTTCCTGCCCAGGTTTTTTGCATCTGCATGTGTGCTCCCCGCTGCCTACCCCTCATCCATCGAAGAAGGAGCACGGCATATGCAGAAACTTGTGGAGCTCCGCGCGGATTTCTTGCATCTGCGCTGGACCCCCCTTGCGACGCCTCTGGCGCCGCCCCTGGCGCGCTCCGCGCGCCGGGATGGGGTTCCAGTACAGATCCGAGAAATCCTCGCGGAGCTCCAACAAATTAGGTTTATGCCATTTTCTTTCTAGTCCAGTGTCAGAGATGTTAGCTTGGTGACCCGCGAGCTGGCTTTTCGGGCACGAATCTGTTGCCCAGCCCGCGTCTTCTTACAGGCTGGCATGCCACGCAGCGCGGAAAAACAACAAAACTCATGCTCAATAGACGTGAACACCTAGGCCAGCTACAGGCAAGCTGAAGGCGATATACAACAACGCAGTGGCGAATGACGAGATAGCTAAAACATACATTCAGTCGCAAGTTGCATGCACTTCTAATTCACATTGACACCGACCACTCGTGACCACGTACTCGCAAGCGCGGACATATATGCATTCAACGAGGTTGAGGGTAAGCGGCACATGATATCGAAGACGCGGACAGTACGCAATTGCCGCCCCCCTGCCTTTTGGCACGCCTATGTGGCCCAACAATGTGCCAAACTTTGGCCAAGGTATTGGACTACGTGTCTGTTCCCAAGCCGTTGTGGAAGGTCTTGCGGGAACACTTGGGAGAGACAGAAATAGAGAGAGAGAGAGAGTGAAAGAGAAAGAGAGAAAGAGAGAGAGAGAGAGAGATGTTAGAGATATCAGAGGGATGAGAGAGATGAATAGGACGAGCTTCTTGGGTGCATCTTTGATGCCTCAGGGGGCCTCTTTGGGGCCTCTTGGGCCGTCTCAGGGCACCTTGGCCCGTCTGACCCCTTCGGAGGCTGTCTTCGGGGCTCTTGGGGGCTTCTTTGGCCGCGTCTTGGGACAATTTTGAAGGCCTCTGGGGCTGTCTTGGGCTGTTTGAAAGCCGAAAAGGGCGAAAACGCGAACATCATTCAACAACTGAGAGGGTACATTATGTTTTTGCCTCTGCGGGCCCTCCTGGAGAGCCTCTTGGAGCCATCCTTGGCCGTCGTGAGGCCATCTGGGAAACCGTGTTGGAGCCATTTTGGGTTGTCTTGAGGCATCTTAGGGCCATCTCGGGCTCTCTTGGTGCCATGTCTCCGGACTTGGAGGCCTCTTTGGGGCCGCCTTGGATGCCACTTGGGGCCATCTTGGCTGTCTTGGATGCCCTCTTGGAGCCATCCTGGATGGAAAAGCCCAAGGGATCCGGATTTTCCGGTTAGACGGAGGCAGCCGGGAATTTCTTTCAAGGAAGGGGTAATGAAAGTTATAGCATGTGGCATCTGGCACGCCGAGCACCCCTCAGGCCGGCTACAGTGACGGCGGATCTGAGAATCCTCAATCCTGCCACAGCACCGTTCCTGGAACTTCAGCGCCGCGGATCAACGCGATTGTCAGGTCCTGATCACTTCAAATCGTGCCAGAACGCTTTCCCAGGGACTTCGACCATACGAATGCTAGGAACTGTTCCCAACATATAAGACATGTGCTCGGCACTAAGGAGAGAGTCACATGTTGAATAGGCACCGCTCTGCATCTATGAAACTGCTGCTAACTTTTGAGACGCATCTGCGCGGCGCTTCGGCGAGAGCCACATTTTGAAAACCACCCACCCTCCATCCGTGAAGTTGTTGCAAGCTCTAAGACGAATGTGCGCGGTGCTAGTGCGAGAGCCACATTTTGAACACGGCCCGCCCTCCATCCGCGAAACTGTCGCAAGGTTTTATGTCGAATGTGCGCGGCGCTAGGGCAAGAGGTACATGTTGAAGACGATCCGCCCTCCATCCGTGAAACTGTCGCAAACTTTTTTACCGAATGTGCGCGGCGCTAGGGCGAGAGACACATGTTAAAGACGATCTGCTCTCCATCCGCGAAACTGCCGCAAGCTTTAAGACGAGCCCTCTTGGAGACCATATTGGGCCACCTTGGGGCCATCTTGAGGCCATGTTCGGCCATCTTTGCGGAAGACGGTTGTTGTTTCTCCGATGGTTTTTGGTAGTCAGGGGTGTTTTCCGAGTGGCAGTCGAGTTGGGCCAGAGAGCATTGGGATTTTTTGGAAACGCCAAGGAGAGTAGCAACATCTGGCAGGAGGAGGAGGAGAAGGAGGAGGAGGAGGAGGAGGATGAGGGAGAAGGTTGGCTTCGTCAGAACGAACATGCAGCCACCAGGAAACAGGAACCAGGAGAAAGAAGAGATGGAGGATGAGGAGGAGGCGGAGGAGGAGGAAGACGGGATGGACACAGGGGAGGAGGAGGAGGAGGAGGAGGAGGAGGGAGGGAGGAGGGAGGAGGAGGAGGAGGAGGAGAGGAGGAGGAGGAGGAGGAGGAGGAGGAGAGGAGGGAGGAGGAGGGAGGGAGGAGGAGGAGGAGGAGGAGGAGGAGGAGGAGGAGGAGGAGGAGGAGGAGAGGAGGAGGAGGAGGAGGAGGAGGAGGAGGAGGAGGAGGAGGAGGAGGGAGGAGGAGGAGGAGGAGGAGGAGGAGGAGGAGGAGGAGGAGGAGGAGGAGGAGGGAGGGGAGGGAGGAGGAGGAGGAGGGAGGAGGAGGAGGAGGAGGAGGGAGGAGGAGGAGGAGGAGGAGAGGAGGAGGGAGGAGGAGGAGGAGGAGGAGGAGGAGGGAGGGAGGAGGAGGAGGCGGAGGAGGGAGGAGGAGGAGGAGGAGGAGGAGGAGGAGGAGGAGGAGAGAGGAGGCATGAGGAGCGAGCGGGAGCAGGAGGAACAGGAGGAGCAGGAGCGAGCAGGAGCGAGCAGGAGCAGGAGCGAGCAGGTGCAGGAGCGAGCAGGAGGCGCGAAAGCCACCCTCGGCCCTTCCTCTGCCGGCCTGCTCACCGCGGGACGTGGGCGGGCGCAGGACCGGCATGGACGCGCGCAGCTTCGCGCCGGGCCCTCGGCCGCGGAGGAGGAGGAGGAGGAGGACCAGGAGGAAAACGAGTGTAAACCCAAGAGTCGTCAACGATTGTTGGAGTAAACCCTCCCTCCAAGCTCCCTCTCCATAGGCCCCTACAACGGTTCGTTACCATTGGAGGAACTGCCTCGTTGGAAGACAACCTTTTGAAGACCCTGAAGCTTCCCCAAACACTGTTCTCGGGATTCCAGCGCCACGGATCAACGTGACCGTTGCGTTTTGACAATCCTGATTCGTGCCAGAACGCTATTCCTGGCATTTCAACACAGAATCAACGTAATTGTTGCACCCGCATAGTCCAGAATCCTTTCAAAACACCATCTGGTACGATGATATGGGAACCCGTGAAATTCTCAAAAGTCATGTAAACGAATGTGCGCCGCGCTAAGGCGAGAGCCACATTTTGAAAACCACCCGTCCTCAATCCGTGAAGCTCTTGCAAATACTTGAAGACGAATGTGCGCCGCGCTAATGCGAGAGCCACAGTTTGAAAACAACCCGCCCTCAATCCGTGATTTTCAAACGACTGCGCGCCGCGTTAAGGCGAGAGCCACATTTTGAAAACCACCCGCCCTCAATCCGTGAAACTGTTGTCAATTTGTTTAGCTTCAGGCGAAACGCCTGGCCCGCATTAAAAACTGGCCTCGGGGTGCGACAGGGAGAAGTTATTGAGAAGGAGCAGGAATGGAGGAGGAGAAAGGGGTAGGAGGCCAGAATTGGGGGGGAGGGCGAGGAGGAGAAGGACGACCAGGAAGGGGGGAGGACGACGAGGAGGAGGGCGTCGACCTGGCATCGGTACGTTGCCGATAGATTCATGATATGCCCCCTGGCAACGGCTCCGCGCGCTCCCGGGCTCGGGGACCATCGGAGCACCGCTCGCGGGGTGGAGCTCTCTGAGCAGATGGGGCAACGGACAAGGGCGACGACCAGCTCAGGGGGGTAGGGGGAGAGCGCTCCTCCTTCCTGAGTTGCCTCGGCCCTCACTTCCCCTGATCCCGAGGCCCGGGTTTTTTGGGATGCAACTTCTAGAGGTTAGTTGCGTAGATTCAGCATCGGCGCTGGTATATCCGTGGTCGAGCCTAATCCGACATCCTCCTGCTTATTTCCGCTGAATCCCGCTTGGTCTGGCTTAGCCCAGGGCATCATTTGGCCTAATCTGGTTTATTGCCCCCCAGTCGGGCGCAGTAGCGCTTACGAAGACATCTCAGCAATTGCCTTTTCACTTGGTTGCCCTTGCGCACCCTCGCGCCTTCGGCGGCGCCTCGGGCCAGCGCTCAGTCCTTCAGTCCTTGGTGTGCCGAGGCGGGTGGGAGCCCGATGGCCTTGCTGTGCGCGAGGTGAGGCGGTTTCCCTCCTCGGCGGGCGGTCCCTTCTCTGGACGGTGGCCTGCCCCTTCCGCGGGGACCCATCGGTCGAATTTCGGTTGTTCTCTACGTTTTCGGCCTCTGGGGGCGCTGGCAGGGCCCCAGGACCGTCAAACAACCACTCGGCACGAAGGGCGGTTCTTGGGGAAATGGTCGGGACTTCCGGAGGCCGCGAATGAAAGAAGTCAAGGCATCGTATGCTTTGGTCTGGATTCCCAGATTCCCGTTGGGCGCCTTCCTGTTTCAAGTGTCGAGTGGTTGTCATGTTCCTTCCTCGTCGGAGGGTGGGCGGACACCCAGTCTGCTTTCACGGCCCTCCTGCTTTGTGTTTCGATCCACTTCTTCCGAACTGTGGATGCACGCGCTCCCCCCTGGTCCTGGCACTCCGCAGCCTGCCGTTCGCACGCTGCGCGATGTCTGGCTCGGAGATCGGACACGCAGGCCACCTCGCAATATTCGTGACTCAGGTCTGAAGCGGTCTGGCAGTCTTGGCAGTTTCGCAGTTACGGGCCAATCGTTGTTTGACGAGCGGTCGTTTGTGGTTCTTCGATGCGCAGTCACGGATTTCGTGAAACAGATGGTTCCTTTTATCCCTCCATCAGATTCAGGCGTCGCGAAACAGCATGAAAGCACGACGGAACGTGTTTCCCCAATCTTGAGTGTGGGTTCGGTATTATTCGTGTCATGCTTCCGCCTCCACAATCCCGCCTCCTAATCATTTTTCCTCTCGTGCTCAGACCATTCACACTCGAAATGATATTCACTCGTATCCAGAATGCAGACTCACTCACATTCATACCTCTCGCAATCAGCATCACGCGCATTCACATTCAAGCACACAAGCACACACACATTCATGCTTACACAATCGGACTCGCTTACACTCATATTGACTCATACACAGAGTCTCTCGCATAGTCATGCTCTGACTGAGCTGCACTCAGACTCTCTGATCGCAGACTCACTGATGCTCAGACTCATTCACGTTC